ACGACCAGCAGTAAGGTGGATGGACTGAGTTACAGTGGCGATGAGTGCACCATTGGGAGACTTGGGTTAGGGATAGATCCTTATGGAGAAAATCTATCTATGTGGTGGCTAAGAGTTGAAAATGACTTGATGGCACATAATCAATCAATCAATCAATCAATCAATCAATGTCTATGAAAGCTTGTTTTCACTAGCAGAGTCATTCATAGTAATTACTTGGAGGAGTTTCCCCCCCGCTATATTTTTATAATTTCCTTTAGTCCTTTTATAGTCAGAATACAGTGTTATATTACTCACTGTCCTCCTCTGTTCGTTGTTCCATGTTCAATGTACGGACTTTAACCTTCTCTAGGGCACCTGGTGATCGCCTTGGGGTCATCAGGCTGACAGCTGCAGTACTGAGGAAACGGTTAGCTCGCCCCAAGGTGGGGGAACTGAGCCAGCTTGGCCTGGCCAAGGCTCCCCCAATTGCCAGTGCAGCAGCTGGACGCTGAGAGAGAGAGAGAGAGAATGACAAAGATATGCAGTAGTATTTGTTCGGCTACAACAATTCTTCTTCTCGAGGAAAAAATAAAGCCATCTCGAACCATGCACAAATCATTGGTATTCAAGCAGCTAATCATAATGAAGCATTACCATTCACAAAAATATTTTTCACACATTATCATCTCACTTATCATAATCTAGGGAAGAACTGATGGGTCTTATAGAGACAAGCATAACTGGGATAAAGCTACTGGAAAACTATAGTAGGAACCACAATTTGTATTCTGTTCAGTGTATTACCACAAAATCATTCTGTGAGCACAAAGAAATAACTTTGTTTGCATATATAGCACAGCAAGACAGGTACTTCTATATCAATTGGTGTGCAATCAACCTGTGTACCAGACAACTTAGGAGAATCAATGTTGAGTATTCTAAACTTAAGAGACACAATTTAATTCAGTTTTGCAACATCAGAAGAGAGGAAGAACAGATTTTTTAAAAAATCTGCTCACATGGTGATTGTCTTTGCAATATTCCCTTAGCCTCATTCCAGATATTCTTGGTTACTTTTAAGAATGGCACTTTTCAGCACTGTAATTTTTCATACAGTTTGTTGGCAACTATCTTGTAAGTCACTTATTCTATCCTCTGCTCAGTGCAAGATTTCCAGTATAAGATAGAAATGCAGCATCCCTGATATAAACCTGTTAAGTTTTTACTTAAGGACAGCCCACTGCCTCCTGAGCAGTCTGTTTCACTGCTAGCAGTTAGACCTTTACAATGCTTCTCCTAATGCAAAAGCAAATTCTGCTTTCTTTCAGTTTCCACCACTGATTCTTGTTCTGCCCTCTGAAGCAACAGAGAACAAGTTTGTTGCATTTAAGTCCTTCAGTACTTGAAGCCAAGGTCCACGTCTCCCCTTTAGTCTCCTTTTCCCCAGACAAAACTGGCTTGAAGAAGGAAAGCAAAACTATAAGGCAATCTCAGCCCAAGTTCCTAAGATGGAAAACATGATTGAAGCCAAGAAAAACAAGACTCTCATTCTCAGCAGAGTTATTTCTATGCCTGGATTCATTTCAAACTGAAACTTGGAAGTCTGCAGCACATCAGGCCTTGAAGGAAAATGTAACAAACATCCTCAGAGTCAACAAACAGACAGAACTACTGCATTCCTCACAGAAAGAAAATGCAACAGCACTTATTCCTGTACTTCCAATTGCATTTTGCCTCATCTGCTGAAGGAGCAAGTTCAAACCACAGAAGCATTCCCAGGAGCTTTTCCTCTGAGTCTCCACAGCTGGTTCAGCTTTTCAGGTGCTCTGAAAACATACATCTATACATCTGATCTGACTATGGTAGCTGTTCTTTTTGCCTCTAGGGATCAGTTCTTCAGACAGAGAGAACAAAGATACTTAAGTTCTCAAGTTTGCAATCACCTTGAAAGGGGAAGGATCCATTGCAGTGGGGTATAAAGAAAGTAGAAGCAACAGGAGATAACTAAACCACTTCTACTTTCTGCAAAAATCACAGGAAAAGTGAGAAAGAGCTATCATAACACAGGCAATAGCAAAGGGTAACTTGATATTTTTTCTATCAGTGCACCATATTTGGTTTGGTGGACTTGTTTGCTGGAATCTTATAAGCCCCCCAGAGTCACTTGTGTGAGATGGATGGCTATATAAATAATATACATACATACATACATACATACTTTGGAGAAAGCAAGGTATGACAGGAGTCCATTTCCTTGCTTTCTATGTCCCGAGCACTGGAAACACAGGAGGGTTTCCTACTTTTTGCTCCCTTTTCCAAAAGATACATCACTATACACTCTTTTGCAAAAGATTTATTCTTCGTTGCTTTTGCAAATCCTAGTGAAAAATAATGGCAGAGCCTGCTCCTTTCTTAAGTCCTCTGCACAAGTAAAAAAATTTACAACAGTGGATAGCAATTGGTGGCAATAAAATTACAGCTCCATTATCACATGTAAGAACCAACAGCAGCAAGGGTTTAACTAGCATTTTTATATATATTCCCCAGCTGAATGCAAAGGCTTATAATCAGTTCTGGGTATACAGTAAACTCCCTTTCACTGAAAAGATTTGAAGCTTGGACTGGAATCAACAAGGCTAAAATTAAGTCTAAAAGGGTTAAAAAAATGAAAGGAACTATACCCAGTACCAACCACCCTCCCCCATAAAGGAAGTACCAGGAACATGTTTATGAGAAGAGATTTTATAAATATTATGCCAGCACTGACAAAGTCTCCTCACTCTTAACCAAAGGTTTTAGTTTTCTTTGCTTTCAGAACCGTTCCCTAATCCAATACCTTTGAGGCTGCATTCTTCATGCCTTGAATGCCTTGCTATGGTTGCATCTGACTGGTATACTACATCACAATTTGAGAATACTAATTTCTCAGATGTATTATTTATAAATTAAATGTATATAAGGCCACCCCTCTTACAATGTCTTCTCACATCACTAGTCAAAACAATTTCTACAAGCTTATCAAGAACCTTCCACCACTAACAACTACAATTAAACTTTGACCCATTTTATGCACCATTTCTAAAGCTCACTTGTGCTGTTGACACTGCTGATTCTTCATGTTCATCAAGATCATCCATTGTCACAGCCTGAAGTTCTGCAGGATCAATTAGAATATTCACCTTTGAGGCCAAATCATCTGTGTGAATAAACAATGCAATGACATTGCCAGGTATAGTTGCCTAAACACTTTTCTTTTCATAACTTGATTTCCCACTTAATTTCCCACTAGTAGAAGATCAAATGATAATATAGTAATATCTACATAGGATTTAGAGTCAAAGACACTTCTCAGTTAACACTGTGGGGGAAGAGCAAAAGGAAATTGTTGCCACCCTATGACACTTCTGAATCAACATAATCCTATGAATGCAATTCTTTTGCTGTTTCAAATACTAATGTTTGGATAGAATGACCCTAACTAGGGTTGAAATGCTTATTCAGTGCCTGTTGGTCTATTTCTTAAACTCAACAGACATTATAGAATTCTCACAACATATCCAAACCCATCAGAACCTTTCCTGTTCCAATATCTGCTGTTCTTCTTGCTCTACAGCTATGTGGGAGGAGTGGCTGAACCACCAGCTCCTCCTAAGTGAAATGCCTTGGGGTTCAGCTCTCTCCCCTATGCTATTTAAGATTACCATAAGACCTGCTAGGAGATGTTAACTATCAGTTTAGGATGAGGAATCATTAATATTTTATAAACAAATTAACTAGTTATAAACATTGCTCTATCCGGAAAAGTAGTGGAGAACCTTACCTGGTGTCTGAAAGGTACAAGGAACTGGATGGCACAAAGAAGCTAAAACTGAAACCTAGCAAAACACAGGCACTGTTGTACATACATATTATGGCTCTATTTCAGCTCTTTTGTTGCCTCTGGACAAAGTAAAACTCCTCAAGGAGCAGGTCCACAACTTGGGGGTTTTCTTGGACTCGTGGCTCCTGCTTAATCAGCAGTTAGAGGCCATGGCTAGGGAAGCCTCTGCCCCAATTTGGCTGGTGTGTCAGCTGTGGCCCTTTTTGGAGTGGGAAGCTCTGGAGGCAGGGATTCATGCCATCAACACCTTGAGACTAAATGATTACACTGTGCTCTGTTTAGGGCTGCATTTGAAAATTACCCCCAAACTGCCTATGGTACAGAAGGCAGTTGCTCACATTCTGGTGGGTGACAGCCACTTCAGCAGTTTTGCAAGCACTGCACCAGTTGCCAATAGAGTTCCAAATACAGTTCAAAGGGCTGGTGTTAACCAAAAAAGCCCTACAGCGGCTTGGCTCCCCATTATCTGCCCACTCCATGAGTTCCATTAAGGAGGGGATACTTCAGTGCCCCTCCTCCCACAAGAAGTGAAAGGGATGGGAGCCTAGTGACAGGCCTTCTCAGGGGCTGCCCCACTGTTAGGAGACAGCTTGCTCCCAGCAATCTAAACAGCCTCCTTGGTGTTGAGTTAGGAAGGTACTGAAAATGGTTTTATTCTGCAGACATTATGGGCTAAGTGGTTGTTTTTTAATCAGTCTTTGAGACAATATGATTTTTATTATATTTTTAATATGTAGTGTTTTAACCAAAGCTTTCATTAGTACTTTTATGTTTTAGGAGAATTAGTATGTTGTTTCTGGTCTATGTTCTAAGAATTGTGAATCATCTTAATGTCCTGTGATAGGGTAAGATATAAATCACATACCACAGTGTTGTCACCTTAAAAATGCAAGGACAGAATCAAAGTGGTATCATCCTACCTTCCTAGCTTTTGCGTATTGGGTCATCTTATACAGCTTTAAATGTAAGAACTACATTAGAAACTCTGTTCTATTTAAAATGCAACTACATCATCAGTTTGTATGACTGATTAAAACTATTCTTTCAGTATCATCTGAAACACATCTGTGCTGAGGGCTTGCAATCCAGTGCTTTTGTTAATGAGCCTGAAATAGGAAATCTTCCAAGGATGGGCTGTTGTCCTGAGGACTCTCTTTTATTCGGAAAAGCATCTGCAGAGTGCTTCAAGCTGAGTAGCAAACCAAGTGGGACGGGTTGGATATCTGTTTAACTCTCTCTCAGCCGTCAGAATCACTCCCTCAACAACTTTTTTAAGAAAGTAAAATTTAAATGTCTTTAAAGCAGCTAGGGTGGGCAGCTTTGAATGATAATTAAATAACATAAGAAAGGTTAGTAAGTTTGATAATTACTCCATTCAAGGTACCCATATTTAAGCTGATCTCCTTCAAAAAATCAAACCCTGTGAAAAGAAGTCAGAGCTATTCTGGGTTGAAGCTTGAGTAGTATGATACAACAGCAGTGTTCAATCATCAGCCCTATAAAGGAGAGATGGGCTTCCTGAAAGCCTGTGATGGCCTTCCAGAGCCTTTCCAAAGTTGCCACCAAATTGATTTATGTATTGAATTTATATCCAGCCTTTCATTTGCAGTTGTCAAAACTGTTAAAAACATGGAAAGTGACCATCTCAATTGAATTTCATTAAATAAAATCAGATTTAGATTCTGCCCTGACCCCACCAATTTTTAGGAAAGCAGCCTCCCCATGTCACTCAAAAGCCAAGCACAATCCTCAGCTTGAAAAATATGTACCCCTTTTATAAGGCTTAGGATGGTGAGAATCAGGTATGTTTTTTGAAATCAATTCCACAAAGACATATAGTTATGCTTTAGTTACCAATTGGCAGTATATAAAAAAAAAAGTCCCATCAAGATTGCACTTTACTTTCAGACCAGATTGCTGCTTCTAAAAGTTCCCCTTTCATTGCAAGTTTGCCCCTGAATCAGCTTCCAAGACAAAAAGTGGAATGTGCAGACCTTGAGGGCTGCTGAAATATGCTTCCAATTAGAGGCAAAAATGCTGGGTAGGGAATCCTGAATGAATAAAAGCAAGATTTATTAAAGGGTCATACACAACCTTTCAAATTAAATTTGGAGTTCATGTTTCTTTTTCTCTTATCTCTAACAGATGCCCAAGCAGCCCTAATACCCTAACGCCCTGAAGAACATCTGAAAGAGGATAAAGGCAAGTGTTTATTAGATTCAGACAGACCAGGCAGGATCAACTGCCAGTGTAACTTCAAATCTCAGGAAGGTTCTTGTTTTTAGCTACAGAGGTCATACACAGATCCCAGAAGAGAAGTGGGCTATTTTAATTAATTGGCATAATCATGGATGTAAATTAACAAGTCAAAAAATTACCACACTTATGCCATAGCTGCTATTTAAATTTCAAATTAAAATACACAGTCTCCAAGAAAGGTTATGAGCAAAGGGAGCAGGGCTTCTGAAGGTTACTTCAGATGCTTAGTTAGGACCTGCCGGTTAATAGCCACTAGTGATATTCTGATCTCAAATTCTTAACAGTTAACAAACTAAAATATAACAAGATAGGGAAAGCATGGAGAGCATGGTTTTTGGAATTCTTCTAATCCAGCAGTTCAGCTCTGGGTTATGAGATCAGGAGGGAGGTGGGCTTAGAGTGGCAGAGTCACCAATACTTCAAGACAGTGCCCAATTGCTTCTTCCATAGGGACATACTGGAAGAACGTTTTTGGATTTTTCTTCTCTTCAGCCCCAAGTCAGATCTAGCCCATTTTCAATCTTGTTCTTTCTTTTTTCAGTTTTGCTCCCCACACCAAATTTGGTCCTATTTAGTTTGGAGAAAACGATCTTGTTGATGGATAGATAAGAGTCCCATGTTTGAAATTAAACCCACATCATTTTTATATCAAAACTAAAGAACATTTTAAAGTTGACATTAAGGACCTTTATGGTTCACATAATACAGAATAAAGAATCGGAACACCCAGTAAAAGAACTTCAATAGTTATTGGGCTAGGTTTAGTTAAATAACTTTATGGGAAAATTTTTAGTGTTAAAGTTGCTAATGTTAAACGATATCCCAAAACTTTGGAATATGACTATTTTTGAGGAGTTATGATTATATCAGGCATAGGGTGTTGCTAAGAAAATTATTTTGAGAAATTGGGAAAGTAGTAATATTCCTGATACGAAGAATTGGATTCAAGAGACTTATCCATTTTCAAAAAAGCAATTTTGTCTATTAATCAAAAAATGACTCAATGTATTTTTCTGTGTCATAGATTTTACAATATTTTGTAATGTTAGACAATCATTAAATTTTTTTTCTCCTAAGGTAGATTTAGAAATCTTTTTGATACTTGGTTAATATGTTAGCTATATTGATAGTTTTCCCACTTTCTGCTCTTTCTGGTGGGTTTTTTTTTGTTTTTTTTTTTTGTATTTTGTAATTTTTCTGTTTCTGTAAAATATACTAAGAAAATAATAATAATAATAATAATAATAATAATAATAATATTTTTTTTAAGTGATTAAAAATGACACATAACGTGTGTCAAAAGAGTCACTTGCCTTTCAAAGTTTTCTTGAGATGAGATAAGAGTCCCCCAAGTCGCTGGAGGTCAAAGTAATCCACCTTCCCATTATAAAAGAGCTGAGGGGGAACATAAGCATCTGCAGAAAATAGACATGTTATACATGGTGAAAGAACTAATATTCTCTGACAGGAAATAACAGAATTATGTATAGATTTTTAGGCCACACTTTAGAACACAGCCTGAACAAAGCAACCTAAGTAATAACTGCAGAATCTAACACACATTAAGACAATAGATTCCTATAGCTTTAAAGCAGCATCATAAAATATGCCACATACCAGAGAATTTTAAAAATTAGAAAAGGGAGCAGTGTAAATTCAGTAAATAACATTTTAGAAATATATTACACATTTTTATAAGAGGTAACTTTCAGGAGCTAACTTTTTAAGCCTGTGTGCAAATTTCTGATAAGATAAGTGCACCTGGGTAGGGTTCAAGTTTCAGAGTCTGTGCTGAATTGGGCCAACATGGATTAATTTTCAAGGTTACCTCCTACTCTATGTTCTTAACTATTCTTCACCTGCTTTAAGAGCAGAGTCTTCTATAGAACGTGTCACAAGATGCTAAATAAAGCGTGCCACTAAAAATGCTAAATAGAGAAGGTTGCAAATGTGTTGTTGAAGATGACAGTGACAGGAGAGCATCTGGACAGCTACATCAAGACAGAGATAGCAATGAAGCTGGCTATCTTCTCTGGCATCCTTGCATCTGCTAAATGATGCTCACTCTTTGGGTAGGCGGTTTCACTGTGAGAAGAAGAATGTCAGAGCTTTTTAAAAATGACAATCTTCCTGAACATTAACTATGATCCTCCAAATATCACACATTGTCTAATTTGCAATTTGGAATAAAATGATCAAGAATATCTTAGTACACCACTCCAGGAATTCATAAAAATCTTAGTTTTAGTCAAAGACTCCATTCTTCAACTTTCAGCCATATACCAATATAGATATTATTGTATTTTTCAAAGATAAGGGCATTTTACCTTCACTACTCAGTGCTGATGCATTCTTCACCTTATGTTCATCCCAATAATGTCTCAAGGCTGCTATAAGTCGATGCAAGAAACACACCATATATTCTGGAGGACATAACACGGTCAGATTCTAAAGGCAAAAAAAGGGCAACAATCCTCTGCAGTTAACCTTGCAGTTTCGGGAGTTATGCTAGATACCTTGATTCACTTAAATATGTGTGATGCACAGACCCTTCCTTTTTTCATTTCCACAAGCAGAGCATGCCTACTAATTGATGGATTATGTCCATACTGATGTGTGCCTATTTCTCCACAAGAAATAGCAAGCAATTGTCTTCCCTTTGAAGCAGAGGAGCCGTGTACATCAGAAGAGATCTTAGCAAGAGTCCAAAAGGATATTTCTCTTGCTATCACAAAATACTGCTCTCAGGAACAGACAGCACGTAGTATTAAAGTGAATCTCAATGACCCTCAAACTGTATGAGCATTGCTATGAAAAAAGAAAAAAATCCTAACTAGAAACACTAATTCTCTCACAATTCTCTACCAATTCATATGTATTTCAGAACTGCACATAATGGGTAGCATCCATTATTTTTTTCCCATTGGGAGGAGCATCCCCAAGTCAAGTACTGTTGTGAATGCTCTTATTGGCAGAAAGCTAGATAATTTGAGCCTATTTCTCCTTTTTATGCAATCTCCACAGCCATCTTCCCCACCTCCCAGAGCAGATTTTAGGCAGAGACAGGGGAACATAGTGAAAAGTACCTCCTCGGACAGAGAAAGCCCTTCCATCTTTGGGGGACTTTTGCTAGATCTAGCCAATTGTATACCATTTCTATGGTTATAATATAGGATGAAGCTACTGATCATTCAGTTTTTGAATGATCGTATCTGATTTTACCTTGCTATGGGAATGGTTCACCTTAGATTCAGCTACTTTAAAAGTTACTAAATTTCATTAGCATCTTGTTGAACAATCAATATGTAAGAATATCTCTGACAGATATGGAAGCTAATCTGTAACACAAAATATGGCTGCACAGGACACCTGTTAGCATGGAATTTATCAGCAAAAAGTTTTAAAGATTGTTAATATGTTAACTGAGACACAACAATACCCTTGCTTAAAAGTATACTTCTAAGCAACACAAGCAAATGTGGAAAAATTGATGAAAAACATAGCAGTATTCTTCTTCACTTACCCCTCGATTGCTGGCATTTTCCTGAAGAAATTTGCGGAATTTATTTAGAAAGATGTATCTGGAAGCTCCTCCCTGAAAAAAACAATGCCAGTAGAGTCCCATCTAGATTATGGAATAACTTAAAATCAGGCCATAGGTTTTGTTTAAATTTTGGTCATTTAACGTGCAATTTGGCCCTTAAAGAGCAATTTCATATTGTGTTCTTATAATATAATAGTTTTTATACTGAGTTGACAAACTATTTTCTATTGTGGTTTTCTTTTGTTTTTAAAATGGTAATTGTTTAAAATAATTTGGACTTTAATTTCAATCATACACTTTGTGATATTGTGCTACAGTTAGTATTTATTTTACTGTTTCCCTGTCAGCAGGATGTAAATTAAATTACAGATAGTCCTTGCTTATCAACCATTTGTTCAGCAACCATTTGAAGGTACAACAGCGCTGAATGAGGGGGACTTATGACTGGTCCTCAAAGTTGCAGCCGTCACAGTGTCCCTGCAGTCACATGATTGTAGTTTGGGTGCCTGGCAATCGGCAGGAGTGGCTCGGCAATCGGATCACAATTTGCAACCTTCACTGCCGGCTTCCCACAAGCAAAGTCAATGTGGTAGGCTATCCCTGCGGCAGGCTGTCCCCTGCAGCAGATACCTACTAGGCCCTGTGCGCTCTCCTTGTGCAAGCTGTTCCCATAGCACTCACTTTCAGTGCTACCCCGCACCATGCGGATGGTTCCCGGCTTGGTGTACACTGTACTTACGCAGGCTGTGTACCAGATCAGCAACCGGGAGACCCACAGGCACCCCAACACTGCGAGAAAAAGCAGCGGCAGCATCACACAGTGTGGCAGCCCCATAGCTTCTGGACCCATAAGGCAAGCAGGGCAGCAAACATAAGCAAGCACTTCTGGATTCCTGCCACTTCCCAAGAGGCAGCCTACCTTGTGGGCAAAGCAGCACCTGAGCCTAGGAGAAAGAGGTGGTGCCTGAGCTCGCTCAGGTTGTCCCCTTTCTCCTCCTGCTCCTCTTGAGCGCCATAAGGTTTCTGAGCATTCCTGGCCACCAAGCATGGGACGAAGCTTAGGAAATACAGTATGTATGCTTTTTCTCTGATCTAATTGAATTTCATGGGGTTACATTTCGATGCGAAAAAGGGACCTGAATAAAGCAAGCCGCCTAAGAAGGAAAGGCCTGTTGTGACCATGACTTGCGACTTCCTGCTGGCTTTCCCATTGACTTTGCTTGTTGGAAGCCGGCACTAAACTGGCTTCCAACAAGCAAGTCAATGGGGAAGCTGGCATGAAGCTGCAAGTCACGGTCATGTGACACTGCTCTTAACAGTCACATATGGCTCACTTAAAGACCGCAACTGGAATGGTCAGAACTGCCATCGTAAGTTGGTGCAGTGACATGATTTTTCACTTTATGACTGCGTTGCTTAGCAATGGTGTTGCTGGTCTCAATTATGATCAATAACTGAGGACTATCTGTAATTTAAAAAACTCTTAACAGCGACTATATTAAATGATGGGTTAAAGAGTCAACAAAAATGTAATACTACAGACCGAATTGTTGTACTATCCAACACTATTTCAAACAAGTTTCCTTACAAAGAAACTGAAAGTATCATATGAGGTACTATATTTAAACTGCCCTGAAGAGACCCAACTAAAAGCACTCACTTATTCTTAGTAGTATTAATTCTTAGCATGTTTATTAAAAGTTCGAAATTTAGTATGGCACTGGGCATCCTGCATTTAATAGTCAGATTCAATGGAAAGGGCAAACAGCATACTTTAAAGCAAGTTGTTACCCAGATGCTAAATCACGAGTTAGCAAGATATATCCCTCAAAATCAAGTAATACGTTAGATTTATTTAACAAGGTAATTATAAGTTCCAACAATAAGGTCTCTCAGTGTCTAGTCAAAGAAAGCAATATATTATGAGGCTAATATCAAGAAACATGGAACTACATGAGTATACATAGCTCTGAGTTCTTAAAATGCAAGCAAAGCACCTTAAGGAAAAACTACAACAGGATAAAGCAAGTTTATAGTCAGAATTATTGCAGCCATTCAGTTATTTAAACTGCCCTTACCACACTATGGTCTTTATTATTTAACAACAGCTTCAGTATCTGTACTTGAAGTTCTTCCACCACTAGGAAAGAACAAATAATATAACTGTTATATACATTGGGTGAGTCCATCACCAAGCTCTACAGAGAAACTAATAATGAATTTATTCAAGTCCTATATAGAAACTCTAGAAAGAAAACCAGCCCACTTAGATTATTTCATTACTCCCTCAGAGGAGATACATCAATGAAAGTTCTAATAGGTTGCTCCAGATAATCTTGAGAATGACAGGATGTACAAACTTTATCAGTGAGTAATTCAAGAGGAGAACTGAGTTGATGAGTACGACATTTGGGAGTATGGAAGCAAATAGCATTGACAACACTGCAATACCCAGCTGTGGTCTGTACATTTTCCTGCAGACTGGGATCAAGCTATGATTTATAGGTACTGATCACAGTGATTTCAAGCCACGTTGTATAACAGAGGTGTATTACCAGGGCACCAGAGCCTTGCATATGACCTTTAGAATCTCTTTCTTAATGTGACCAAAAGGGAAAATGATTAAAAACATGACCAAAAAATAATCATATTGACTAGATTTAATTTTAATTAATTTATATGTAAATTAAATATAATAAATTTTAATTCTTGTTCTATCCATGTAGAGCACACATGCCACTCAAACACCAACTGCTGCCTTCAGCCCAGAAAAAGTTGCACACGTCTGATCTACAATGCCATGGAAGTCCAAATTTCATAAACCCATTATTGTACCTTCAATGCGTTTCTTAAGCCGCTGGCACCCTCTCTCATATGCTCGCCTCCTCAGTCTCTCCTCAGCACTCTCATTCTTTACCTCTTTACTCTCTTTGCCCTGCATTTAAAGAAGGGCATCAACAGAATTATAAACAGTACTCAAAGCATCCAGAGCCAATGGGCAGTTGGTTTTTTTAAAAATCTATATAAATAAAATATTAATAAATAAAAAAGGGATGGATAGGAATTGCTTGGAAACATTGAGGAATGCTAAAACACCTGATAAGGGTCAATAACCTTCCCCAAAGTGCTACATTATCACCTGCATAATTTTATTATGTTCAGAATAAATCTAGACAAAGTCTGAAGCACAGCTGTTATGGCCATTATGTCATTTCCCGAATCTACTAACTGCAAGATTATATTCTTCACCTCCTTGTTGAAACGATTTGGCCACCAGGTGGTGGGTATCAACTCCTGTAAGCCAGCTTCCTCCACACGTAAGGGGGACTTGATATAGAAAAACACAACTGAGCGAAGGACATCAAATCTGCAGGGAGTTAAGGGAACTGGTTGGTAGTTCAGACAAGTGTACCTGCAAATCTAAGTCAAAAAGAGCAACCCTGTAATTAGTTAAAAGAATTTCACATGTAGAACAATGAGAATTTTTTTCTGAAGTCAACTCTGTAAGGGATTTGAAATCTGCAGCACAAAGCTATGAACTGAAATGTGCGGATCTTTGATTGTATACAGCCTCATTCTAATCTACAGTAAAGTAACTGATCCAGCCAAATCATGTCTGTGAGCCTTCTGACAGAAAGCCAGTTCCTGAATCGGGAGTCCATGCCTAGGCAGCTGAGATTTCCAGCAATGCCTTGGAGAACACCTGACAGTTGAGCTAGCTGGACAAATAACTTGACCTAATAGAAGAAAGCTTCCTATACAGCACATAAAGTAGCCTTAAATGCACATGAAAGAGGGATTCTCCAGCAACAACACCAGAAACTATTATTTCCTACTTATTGATGGAGTAAAACTGTACAGAGAGTCTCCAGCAGAGGAACTCATTACACTTTCTAAGGCCATGTTTCAAGCAAACTCCATCACACTGATCTAAAATTCAGACAGTTGTTCCAATAAAAGAAAGGGACTAACTTGCCTCCAAGAGTCTTTAGTTTGTCTGTCTCACTGATTGAGTATCGGTGCTGTAGCCCTCTAACCACAACAGAAATCAGCTCATGATGGTTTTCACAGTGGAATATTTAAAGAATTGTATTGGAACTAGTTTTATTTGATATTTATAAAAGATGAAGAGTTAGGTGTCATTTTAATGTGGCCTCTGTAGATAACTCCAAATTATTTAGTACAATAAAAAGCTAAAGCAAATTAGATTTTATTTAAAAACACATGTAAAGTTGTGTACATTATGTCAAATTTGTGTACACACACACACACAACTTTAGAAGTGTGCTGAAGAAGATTTCAGTGTGAATAGTTCCTAGGAGACCCTGAAGTTATAACGTAGAACTCAATGAAAATGTCAGTGCAGAACAGGAGTGGAAATGAAACAATCTACCACACAGTTTATTACAAAAATATATTACACTATGTATAGTTCTGGGAAAGGTGAAGGAAAAAAAGCAGCTAAAATTATTGGGTGACAATAGCACTTGAGTTTTTTTACTTTAGAAAATTAAAGGCAGATGATATGATATAAGTTTATAAAATGATGCTATAGCATAGAGAAATAGAAGTATAAAGAGAAGTTTTTGTTCTTGCCCTGGACTACCAACTCAGGATAATGCAATTCAGAAGGAGAAAGCATACAATTCATACTTTTGTTATGATATTTGCTACCATACTTTCCAACAACGTTTGTTTAAAACAGCACAATAAAGGAAGTAGATTAATAATGGCTGATCATGATATTCTACATCAAGTTTTAGCAAGAATTTGTCACTAGGTATTAGGGCTGTGCAGTGCTCACATTCAGTTCCAAAAAGGTGTTGCAGAACATGCAGGGATACAAACTCTTTAAAGTGGTTGCTTCTTTCCAGGAATTATACTGTTGCCTTCTATCATTGTCATATAACCCCAAGAAAGATGCAAATAGAGACTACATTTCTGCCTCCCACACATTCCAAAACATTTTTTAAGAATCAAATCTAAAGCATTTAAGGGGGGGCCAAATGTTTATAAACATTGTAAATTGGCAGAAGCACAAAAAAGGGGAAGTTAGAAACTGAATAACCTTTTTCTTTTTTTTCCCTTTTATTTTAATTGTCAAATTTGCTTTGTTCATTTTTTTAACATGCACAAATAATATTAAGTAACAATACAATGGAGACCTTAATACTAGCTTTAGACAGAAACCTTTTTTGTACAACAAATACTATGATGCAATCTGCAGTAGTTTTTTAATGTTATATTCAGTTCTGGATGAAAAAGCTAAATAATCTTATGGTCATTAACACTGACATTTTAAATCATAATGAATGATATAATACTCTCTTTGTATCTTTAATGGTCTAAATTATCTAAACATTAGAGTGTTAATAATCTTTAGTCAATACTGTACAAATACCATTGTATCAAAATAATATAATGTGTATGTTTTACAAAAATATAATAAAGAATTAAAAAGAAAAAAATCAAATCTAAAGCACCACAGAACCCAACTAGATACAGTATACCTGCTGAAAGCAATAGTAGGAGAGAGTTACTACCTTCATCTCCTAGTTATGGGTTTCCCAGAGGTATCTGGCTGTCCAGTTAGGAAACAGAGTACCATAGGCTGTTGATCCTAACTAGATCAAGCATAAAGAAACATGGGAAAGTTGAGCTAAAATTGCATAATCAAGGCACAGTTCTCCATAGCACTGTACAGTAACTAGCCTTAACTATTTTATTGTTCTGAAGTCAATAAATGGGTGATCTGTTGACCTGAAGGACCAAGTTAGGGAGAGATCATCATGAAGGAAATCTACCTATGTGGCTGCTAAGAGTCAACAACAACTGGATGGCATATAATCAGTTGATCAGGCACTAAATAGTTCAACATATGATAATTACCAATTTAGTACTGGGGGGGGGAACAGCATTGAGGTAAAGCTGAATTAAAACAATCTAATCTATATTACAGTTATATTCCAGTTGCTTCTGGAAATTTTAGGATAAAAAAAGGGATAAATATTCTCCAAGGATTTCCTATCACAGCAATGTTCCTCAAAAATTGAAGGAAAACAAAATAAGGATAATATAGATATGAAGGAAAGCAAAATAAAGGTAATATAAGCAATTAGCAAACTCTGAATTGTTCAGCCATTCTTTAGCCAGAATCTTGCCACTTCCCCCTGCTTCAAGGACTCTGCCCCAATATTTATATCTCAAACTTCAAAGAGGGCTATCTAAAATACATTTACAAATTAGTAGTCAATGACAGAGCTAACCAATGCTTGATTCATCAGAAGTGCTTCAGAACATGTTGATTCAACAGAAGCACAAATGCAGCACCTGTCTATGATTCATTAAAGCAGCCACATCCATTTCCAGGATTGTGGTATGATCCTGGAAATAGGGATGCTGATTTAAGGAAATGAAGAAAAATTCTGTGTTTGGCTCTCATACGTTCTGAAACAGTCTGCTGAATTGAATCTGAACCAATGCATGGCCCTAATCAACAGCTAATTATTAATTATTTGGAAGATAGCCTTGTACATCCACAAAACAGGAGGAACACTTTATTTTACAATTGATATTGCCTATATTTGAAATACCTGACAATGTAAGTGAATAAGCATCACTGAGAAATTTAAATAACTATGAACAACATATAGATATGAAAAAGGATACAAGACATTATGGAGCAAGTATTTCCTGGATTTCTCATGTTTTAGGATAGCAATGGTAAGACGAAGATAATGGATCTGGGCAGAAAAAAGAGGAAAAGGACAATCAATTAACAGAGACCAATAACCTAGAACTCTTTTTTTTTATTAAAAGTTTTACAAAGCATGTAAAAACTAACACAAACTAATAAAGAGTAGGAACAGTAAAGAAGAATGGAAAGAAGAGACAGAAAAAAAGAAAAAAAGAAAAAAAAAGAAAAAACAGAAAGAAGCAGCTTCCCATTTCCTTTGCAGCAAATATTACAATTGCAAAATTACTCTATGATTACAAAAATAATCAATAACCTAGAACTCTTAAGTGATTTAGAACATTCTTCCCCAAACAGATATCTTTCCAAGTAAGTTGTACCAATTGCTATAATCCCTAGCTAACATGGCCAGCCACAACAGATGATTAAGGATGTTGACATCCTTAATCCTTAATCATCATGTTGATATCCAACACATTTGGTGGGCACTGAGTTGAGATTTACAACTCATAAATTTGTAGTCAGGCAGAAAAATCTGTCTTTCTCACTCTATCGTTTTTGGTATCAAGAATTTCTTCTGGTATGTCACAAAATAAGAGCACTCACCTGTAAGCCAAGATCAGGAACTATGGGAGAAAAGCGGTATGCTCTGAGCAGGGACATCAACAGCTGCTTGAGGCATTCATGTACTTCATAATCCTGAGGAAAAGAAATGGAAGACATTTATATTAGTTAGCCCCAATGGAAAAAGGAAGCAGCCCAGAATTATTAAAAGGCAGTCAAAAGACTTAATGCAACTCACCTCCATGAGAAGCCACATAAGATCCAGTAACTGCTGAATAAGAGGATGTGCTTCTACAGCTCCTCCCCCTTCCAAGATGCCAAGCAGGAAACTCATGAGCACATCTTCCACTAAGTACACTTTGCACTGTACAAAAAGAGTCCTTAAAGTAGCAGAACTGAGAATGACCACCATACAGACAAAACCAGTAATGATACAAGAACGCCACCACCCACGCTGCAGTGCTGTGAAAGTTCTTTAAAAAAAAAAATCCTGAGATGTCATGAGAACTGCAGGTGCAATCTGCTCCACAGATCATTGTCTTCCTCAGGAAGTGCCATATTTCTGAGAAAGTACATACTTCCCTTACAATGTTCCAGATGCTTATACAACTTTTGTAAAGGACACTGTTCCTTTCCTAGCCAACAGACCTATTCACAAGGAGAAAACATACAGCTCGTTGTGGCACATGGCAGAATGCAGCCCTTCTGCTGATGAACAAGCTGTAATTCCTTTCTGGAAGCTGGAGAGGGGAGTTTTTGTGTTACCGTTGGAAGGTGGAGGGTGGGGATCTTCTTAACTAATAAATATATAATAGAACTGCTCCTCTTTGTCTATTTAGGCTCCTCATACATAAAGCACAAAGTAAATTTGATAACTTCACAAAGTCTGCTTCTTTTTTCAGAAAGAAACTGGCTGGCAACAGAGCTCAAATTATAGGTAGGAAGAGTAAATAAAATCCAAAATTATGTTTGGAACCTTACAGCTCACCCCAATTTTAGCTGAATTGTACTCCCCGCAACCTTCTAAAAAGCAGGTCAAAGGCCACCATTAAAGGTAAGAGAACCTGATCTCTTCTTGATCCCACTAATTCAAGCATTGATTGGAAACAGTACAAATTCAGTGGCAGAGACCGTGTTCTAAGGTTTAATCTGTAGCAAATCCACATGGAACTAGAAAAGACTCATGTCTAAAATCATGACGAAGTACTAATAATACGTGTAGATGGGGAAGGCAAATTTGTGTTCTTTACATGTCAAACTATTACAATCCCTGACATGAACTGCCGAGAGTCACTTTTTCGTGAGATGGGCGATATCTAAATTTGAAATATAAATAAATAAATTAGTTATGATGTCTGGAATTTATGGATATTGATATCCAAAATATCTGGAGGTCTCTATGTTGCTTATCTTTGGAGATATAATAGACCAGTGGAATGACTTAGAAAAATGCAACCTTCTGTGTCTTGTGCTTAGGGATCTTGTTGCTGAATACTGTGAATGTGCTGATAAAGAAAAAGTTCATGATCTCTGCAACTGAATAAAACAAGTCTGCTACTACATTAGGTAGCAAATACTACACTGAAAGCAATCTTGAGATATAGATTGAGGAAACTCACCATAAGAGGGGCAAAATTGTTAAAAATGTGTGCCAGGGTGATGAGTATTGTTGGTTCCCCTTGGAGTTGCCAAGTAGAAGAGTCTCTTTCTACCAGCTTCCCTTCCTGAAATAGAAAACTCAGGATTACACAAATTTTTAAGCAGATCCTTAATTTACAAGAATATTTTTCCTTAAGGAAATCCTTGAACAGGTCTCTAGTTCAGAAATACATGCTAGTTCCTCAGAAAGGCCACAAGTTCACTATCATCCTATCAAATCTGGCATTATCTAGACACTATACAGTTGTTGCTAACACTCCCGTTTGAAATACTTGGGCACTGTAGTCCCAATACACCTGGAAGATGCCAAATCGGGAAAGGTTACTATAAAGAACCATGTGCTATAATTTCATTATGCTCAGTAATTCCCTAGCCCCTAATGCTGTTCATTAGTTGCTGTTTGCAGGGGAAGGACAGATAACACTATTATTACATACAGCATAACACGATACCCAACTTTACATTTCCTCCCGACTGACCAAATGATGCAATGGAGGTTCTGTCTCAGTGTCCAGAAGCTGTGGGGGTCTGGATGGGGAAGAACAGGCTTCAGCTCAACCCCAGCAAGTCTGAGTGGCTGTGGGTTTTAGGGGCCCCTGGATCCAAGGATTTGCTGTCTCTGGTTCCAGATGGGGTTGCGCTGCCCCAAACACTACCAGTGTGCAACCTGGGGGCCCTCCTGGACTCACAGCTCCCATTTGAGGAACAGGTAGTAACTGTGGCCAGGAGGGGCTTCACACAAATTCATCTTGTGCACCAATTGTGCCCTTTCTTGGACCAGAAGATTCCACTCAAGGTCACTTACACTTTAATCTCCTAAGTGGATTACTACAGTGCATTCTACAAGGGCCTGGCCTTGAAAAGCATCTGGAAGCTGCAGCTGGTGCAGAATGCACCAGAGCAGGCAGTTATGAATGGCCTTGGTGTGTGCCTGTTACAACTTTTTCTCCACAAGCCTGCACTGGTTGCCAGTGTGCTTCCAGGTGCAATTTAAGGGTCAGGTTATTTGTGGCACCACCTCCTTAGATCCAGCAGGGTCCTGTCAGCCAAAGCATCTTATAGGACCCAGGAAGCAGGATTTTTCAGCTGCTGCCCTTGCCTTATGGAACACTATTCCCCCTGAGATTAGATTGGTGCAAATGCAGCCAGCTTTTCAGAAGGCTGTTATGATTATGGTTGTGTTCCCAGGCATGAGGGTTAGAGTGTTAGTGGGAGCCTGTGATGTGCTACGTTGTTTAGACTGGTTTAGTCTCTCGACTGTTGTGTGTATTGTTTTACTTTATGTTCTGTATTGTTTTATCCTGCTGTAAGCCACCCAGAGTTCTTTTGTGAGATGGATAGCTATATAAATGGAATAGATATTTTATTTTTTCATTTTACTAGATTTCACAGATATAGGATGGCAGCATGCTTCCCCAATAGCCCCCACCCTCCAAAAAAGCCTCAGACATTTCTCTTTCACCTCACTAATATTTCAAACTCCAAATGTAGTTCCTCAGAGCCTGCAGCTTTATAGCATTTTAATTTTTGATACACACTTCTGTAGGTACAAAGCTTCATTGTCATAGTACAGGTAGTCCTCGACTTATGACTATTTATTTAACAACCATTCAAAGTTAGGACAGCACTGAAAAAAGTGACTTACAACCAGTCCTTGCACTTACAACAGTTGCAGCATCCCCATGGTCACATGATCAAAATTTGGGCACTTGGCAACTGGCATGTATTTACGATGGATGCAGTGTACCAGGGTCATGTGATCACCATTTGCGACCTTCCCAGGGGGCTTCTAACAAGCAAAGTCAATGAGGGAAGCCAGATTCGCTTAGCAACCACAGCAAAAAGGGAATAAAATCAGGCACGACTCACTTAATGACCACATTTCAGCGACAGAAGTTCTGGACCTAAGTTGAGGACTACCTGTATTATGCTGCAATATTGATTTGGTAGGCAGCCTGAATGCCATATAGCTTCCAACAGATGACAATGTTCTACACAATCAGTGAACACTCTCAACAACACATGCATATCCAAAATATAAAAGTCACTTTTTCTATTCTTTTTACAACATGGGGGTGTAACAATGACCATTTTTTTTAAAAAGTGCCTGTAATTGTGATAGGTGGGACAATAGTGTGGACAGGGACTGATAGAATGCAGAAATCAATAGTGTGAAAATTCAGTGTGCACTCTGGGTATTGCAACGTCCAGTTAGATAGATCTCTTTCAGGGAATGTCAGATTATGTAGTGCCACAGACCAAAACCACAGATTTCTGCCCTCATCACAGTAGACTGTCAAATGCGGCAATTTAGTTTCTGATAGGACCAGTGAATAAACAACTACTCACTTATATGGCTCAAGGTAATGGAATGTTACATGGTAACCTCAATAAGGGCACAACACTGATGCCTTGATAACCCCCAGCCACTAAGAATCAAGTCTTATTCTGGATCTCTATTTCCTGAAGGAATGCAGTAGAACTGACTTTTCTTAAGGACAAGGCACAAAGTGCCACAGGAAAGCTTTTAGCTCCAGCCTTTTTTCTCCTGAGCTTTTTGGGAATAACGTTTCCAGGCCGGACTGCATTTGTAAGGGGAACTGGTGTTTGAATAGCAATTAGAGATACTTTCCCTTTGTGTCATCACTGGCAACTACCACGTTTGGTGTGACTATTCTTTTTCCCCTTTTAAGTGCCAATATGACCCCAAATTTAGACTACATTCCAGTAAGCATGATGGCACGCATTTCTGAGTAATTATTTCTAAGACTATTTATACCAAAGATACCTTCCTCAAGGAGATTCTCGTGACATTATCCTGGTCCTCTTTTCATTTTAAGGCATGAGAGGAAGTTTTCTTGGCATAGACCTTTTAGAATAATATATTTTCTATTACACTGGAATGTTAATGCAGTTTTGCTGTGTTTTATGATGGGTGTTCTATTACTTTATTCTTTGAAGGCAGCTGTAAGGGCTTTAACTGAAGAGCAGAAATATTTATATATTATACCCACATAAATAAAATAAGCGTAGCTAAGTCCATGCATTTTTGGTAGAACATGTCTAAATAAATGTAACACTGAAAACGTGATCTTACCGAAACATCTATGCCTATATTAATAACATTGTTGAGGTATCCCAGCAGCTTGTGAGCTTTCGCCAAATCTGCAGTTGGTTTATCCTGTAAGGGCTGATATCCCTCCACTGGATAGGTAGGGAATTATTAAGAAATATACTGGAAAGCAATTTACTTCTTCGAGTAAATGTTTCTAAATCCCTAGGCCAGAAGCAGGCAGTCTGTTGAGGGGCAGAAGCAGCACTTGATTTTCTGGGGGAGGAGCAAATGCCATAGCGAGTAGAGCAATGATGCCTTACAAGCGTGACTGCCTCATGCAGTGAGCAAGGGAGGGATTTCCAGAGGGTTTTTTCGGGATACTTTTTAGATAATTTCTTATTTTTCAATTGCCAAGCCTATTTTAAGTACACACTATAGTGTTTGTGTTTTCCCATCTTAAGGAGCAAATGGTGGAACCTGAAATTCAGTAGGGCAGGTAAAAGAGGCTCTGGATTTTACAAAAATGGTTTCAAGGGCCAAATATGATTCTGGGGTTGCCCACTCTTGCTCTAGAGATCTTGCTTTTTGGCTTCAGCTATCCTCCTAGGAAGCCTTTTATCTATCCCGCATTACACTTGTGAAATAACATGCATCAAATATGATATGAGAACACTCCCTAGGGGTGGACAAATCCATAATCTATATATTTTTCTCAAGTTCTCATTTTCCCCAATTTTATGTTTGCTTCATTCAGCCCAATTAATCATTTTTAATCCACAGAAGCAGACCTTTTCATGTGTACTTCTGGTCACATTTTGCAATTTTTATATATAATATATTTTATTTTTTTGATATATGCCTTTGAGGCACATTTTCCCCTTATATATTATTTTATTATACTATTGAGTTCAGAAAAGTTGAATTCTAAACAATATTTCAGTTCAGAATATGTTTCAGTTCACCTACTGGAAGTGTAAATAATTTAACTTGGCACTACTATGCAAATAGAATTAATTTTACCTTTATCCTTTCTATTCACTGTTCTTTTCTTAAAATTTCACATAGAGCAGAAAAAAAAATCTAGTACAGCATATTAATCAAAAGCACAAACTGAAATCCCCTGTCCAAATCTCAACTCAATTACAAACTATGAGGTGTTCCTCGAGTAAAGCACAAACCTTATGGGATTGTTTTTATCCAACATATTTTACTTATGTTACTCAGTAAAAAAGTAAAATATGTTGAAGATGTACTTAGAAAGTTTTTTTTCCCCTAGGTATTATAATTGTAAGAATCAATTGATCACTGAAAAGCTAAAGTGAATATGAGTAAGGGAAAATAATACATTTTAGATACTGACATTTCTCACAAAGAATTTTTCCACTGTTTGACTAAAATTTCGGTTAAAGGATATCGGAGTGGGCGGCTGCCAAAATTAAAAGCAACGGATTCCTTGAATGACAGACTGATGGCAGGGAAATAGGCCATGCCAGAGCCTCTTGAAATGTTATCAAAAGCAGTCCCCAGAGACACACCATTCCTGAAGGAAACAAATGAAAGAAAGTCTTTAAAGAGTTTATACAATTTATTCAACATGTAAAAGATTTACATGGCAGTCACAAGAAAAGTGCAGAAGTACTCAGAGCCGTGTACTTTCTCCTCTGCCAATGCAAACAAGAAATATAAAACAGATTCTGAAGCCTAAGGGCAGAATTTGCTCACCCGTTGCTATGACCCAGGACCTGGATTTTATCTGCAAAAGTAAGTTCTTGCCAAAGCCCTACGACTCTATTCGGCCTCAGAATGCCACTAAATGATTCAGACCTATGCTATTTTCTCCATAGAAGCACAGGTGCCAGAAGAACAAGCAACACTGGTCATAAAATTAATCAATTGACACAACTGTCAAAACAATCCATTTAGACCATTGCTTAATTTTTAGTTTTCTCAATATTAATAAGATGAGGGTTTTGTATTAGGAGAATCCATGGTATTTTTAATTGCTGCATCAAGTATATCAGATTTCCTAAGAGCTGTACAGTGGCATATGTGCATGTATTTAAAGGAAGGTAGAACTATCGTCATCAGATTATACTGTTAAGATTAGACCACATACCTAAATTTGCTTGCTTTTCACTTCCTTTTTCCTTTTTTTATTAAGTCCATAAGATTATGGACCAGAAGCCTTGTCTTTTAATCTTGTATAATGCTTAGAAAAAGTTTAGGTATTTTTTCCCATGACAAAGTTAAAGGACAAAAGGGGTTTGTGCCTCTGCAAAGCTAAAGGTACCCACTTTGCATCTTTAAAACCTGACCCTGAAAACCAATACATACAGGCCAAAAAATTTAGCTCACCAACTCTAATGAAATCACCAGTCATGTCTCCTGTACACCCATAAATCAAATAAAGCCATACTTTTAAAAGTGTGCTTCCTGATCACAAAAATGTTGCCTATCACTGCTCTTCACATACAGTATTCCAGTGAACATTTCTGCTATATAGCTACATTTCTCTCATTTTAGATTATACAGTACTATAGATAACTACAGTAAATAAGATCTGCTTCTTACACACAGGGTCCTATTCGGTGAAGCCTCACAGGAGTCACATAAGAATTGCCAGTCATGTGGATTACTTCCTGTTGGAATTTAACTTTAATATCAATTCATGTTTTATCTGTTTCATGTGGGACTTAAGGAAGGAATAGTTTCATCAATTTTATCAACATACAAATTCCTGCCCAAAAATAATCTGTTCCAGTTTCTGTGGCAGAACCTGAATGCAGCACGATAAGACTGCTTACTGAATTCTGTTTTACAGAGAACTATTGTGGGTAAAGTGAAAAAAAAAAGCTTGTTACAGTATTGTTTATGTCCTCAGTGAACATACTTAGGAGATGTGATGTTGAAATATTGTTGGAATGCTATAAGTAGTGACACCCAGGAGATTTTGAACATGATACTTACAAACAGAAAGAAATGTTTCCCTCATCAAGGTCTATTAAGCAGCTGACAATATCTCCTGCTGCCCAAGACTGGAGGAAGAAAAGAAAAGAAAAGAAAAGGGTTTTATGCTGGAGCACTGAAAACATGTAAACAATATTGCCTCAAGGTTGCTTCCAAATTGGTCAAACAGGCAGTTTCAAAGGCCTCCTTGACTATACTGCCTTTTATATTTTTTTATTGTTTTTACTTGTTGTATTGGTTTGCTGTTTTTATACTGTTTTTTAAATAATTTGTGAGCCACCCAGAGTCTTGTGCTTTTAATTACTGTAAACTGCCAAGAGTCTGGTTGATTGCAGCAGGTATTAAATGAATAAATAAATAAGCAAGCAAGCATTTGATCTTTAGTCCTCTGACACCAGTCTGTTCATTTCAGTTATTAAATAATGATGTGATGACTAAACAAATCTAAATAAAATCTGAGTAATAGTTTAGTGTTTCAGATACTGGGATCCCGATTCAATCTTCTGGAGGGAAATAACTGTTTTCAGTTAGAGGAGACATTACTGAGCTAAAATGGCCAATATCTAATCAGTAGGTACAAGGCAGATTTCTATGTCCCTTATTCTCAAATCAAGCTACATAATTTTCAAAGAGATTTCCAATTTGCTTAGTGCTTTCCAATAACAATAAAATAATTAGGGACACTCACTTTCCCATAGTTGGTTGTAGTCACATTCCACTTGCGCACTCTATTCCCATCATAAGCATATGAATCTGGTGTGTCTCCAACTCCTTCCTGTATAAAGTAAGAACCAGGAACAAACTTTAACCAAAAATATTTGGATCACTACAACACTCTGCATTCTCATACCATGCTTTTTCAAAAATCTCTTGTCAGTATCACTACAAGAAAGAGGTGAGATGCTTAAAATAAGTTTAAGGCTTTAACTTAGTATTTCCCTTCACAAGCATGAGAAGTGTAGAAAAGTTAGCTTAAAACTGGAATATTCCATCACTTGTCATTAATGTTTTTTAAATATTTTGTTATGATGATGCTTCTCTTTTTCCATAAATTATTGTTAGTGTCACTCAGAATTAGGATACACACACACACACAGATCTCAATACAGGATAACCCAACTCTCCCAGACTGTGAAATACAACAAGAATTTGTTTAATAATATTTAGAAAGAGTGGCAATACTATATAGGCAATTACCTCTTGATTAAACCGACAATTGAGAGTGCACCAGCCAATTTGCATGAGACCTTGGGATGAAATCAGTACCTCATAGATCCATTTACCTAAAAGAGAATGTAAGTGACATGCAGCAAAGTTCCAGTTACATGGTATAGACTGCAATTACTTGTCAACTATCACAAACACTTAAAGAATTCCAAAGGTTCAGCATCCAAAGGAATTCAAAAGGGTGAATCCATTCTTCCTTTTCCAATATCTCTAATTTATTGATAAGCATTATTTATTAGCTGTACAATAACAAATCATTTTTTGGGTAGCAGTTCTTCAATGTCAAGCATTTTTTGCAGAATAACTAATACATCTGTAACTCAAAAATTAAAGTCAGAGAATAAATTCTCATCTTAATTTTTTTTTTTTTTTTTTGCTACAACTGTCTTCCTACTTGAACCAGTACTGTGGTTGCCCTACTTTTTTCTTACCTTTATACACACAGGTAGTAGCTCTAATAGAACCAAAGTTACTATGCCCAATCACCTAATTCAAGAAACAAAGAAAAAGATTGTCACAAGGGTTTCACTGTACTTCATTTCAGGAGAAAAAAAGTTAAAGTATTGTGTCACTTCCAAGGACCTACATCAGGAGATATGCAAGTATGATGCAAGAGTAATGAAGACATGTATGTCCACATAATGCCTTCTGCTCACATTTCTTCCAAACAAATACCTAGTGAGAAAGCTAGCTCTGGAGATGGCACAACCTGTATTGGACTACAATCCACCAACTGAGTTATGTGAATGGGTTAAGAATCAGTATGAACTAATAGCCTAAAAGATAAAGTATCAGAAAGGATGATAAAATACAGGTGGATGTAGATGGTTCAGCATATGATGACTGTAACAACTGACAGCAAAAGCAAGAGTAATAAATGACCTTTATAAAGGCAGAATGATAACATCTTCTGTTTTTAGGGCAGCTTTGGAAACTGCCTGGATTGGTAATATAAGTGGTGCATAACTACACTGGCTGATAGGTTCAACAGAGAGGTGGTCTGTCTATTCTTCCTCAGCTAAGAAACTGAATCTAGTGAGCAACATGCAGTGGCAAGAAAAACTCTTAAATAAAACCTCTATTGTTCCAAGTACACAAAAAGATTGTCAGCAGCACATACAAACAGTAGAAACTAATTCTCCAATGGAATGGGAAAAAAGAGTAATAGCTGAAAAGAACACTAATACAGAAAACAGTTTAAATGAAGAGCAGCAAAGAATATCTGCCTGTCTCCAGTTGTTTCTGACTGCCTAATACATTCAGGCAGAGTGGGTGTGTTCCAGGTTTCTTCAATTAAACGCTGTCATTTTGTGGGATTAAAGAAACATGCCTTCTCTGTCACAGCTCCTTTGCTTTTAGTGTGTTAGCGAAACCCCTATTATGTTTTTTTATGATTATTATTATTGTCTTGTCTAGGCAGTAAGGTTTTTTATGTTTTTGACTGTATTTTAATTATATATTTGATATTTTGTAAGCTGCCCAGAGTCTTTTTGGAGTCTTGTGGCCCTAAAATAATAATAATAATAATAATAATAATAATAATAATAATAATAATAATAATAATAATACAGTAATAATAATATGCAGTCAATATTGAACAGGATATCCCAAAGCAAATATTCCACCTTCAGAAAAGGAGTTCTGCTTAACTCTTTAAGTTGGCTATGCCTTTGAATTTGTTAATTATGATTTTAGGATTATCTAATTTTAAATTGAATTTTAATTATTTTACTAAGTAAAATAATTTATTTTTTATTATTGCTAGCTATCTTATGCTAATGGGATGGAAAGGCAACACACAAAGTAAATAGCTTAATGAAGGAATAACAGGGAGCACCATAAAATAGATGGCAGATATGGAACATTTTCCAGAATAAGCATGCTAGTAAGATAATCAGATAAAGAATAACAGTAACAAAGGAAGGGGTGGCTGGTGTGGGTCCTCCGGGCTGTGTGGCCGTGTTCTGGAAGTTGTGTTTCCTAATGTTTCGCCAGCATCTGT